TCGAGGTAATGTTTTCACCCAAGCGTCTGTAAGCTTCTATTATTAATCCAACATTATTCTTCATAATGACCCTGACCACGCAATTGCTTGACTTTATAGATATCATGCATCAAAATTGATTTTGATAGTGGTCCAGGAGGGGTTTCCATCAAGTTTGAATCGTATGAGGAGGCCTAATAATTCTCTCAGTTGCTCGGGAATAGTCCAAGAGGCGGGCTCGAATTGAGGTAACCAGTTTTTCCTTCCTCATCTGACTACCTTGATGGTATTGTCGATTTCTTGCAAACCATAACATCCAAATTATGGTTAGAATTTCTGAGTGCTTATTCACTGTGTTGCTATTAAACCAATCTAACCAACTTTGATAATCTAACAGAGAGACTTGAGTAGTCCATTAATATCCTAACTCACCCAAACCTCCTTGCCATGCCACAGTCCCTAGCCACATGCACCTCCGACCAACCACGTCCCCACACCTCCAACAAAGTTGATTGTTTGATATTCGACGAGTGAATAAATTATTCATAGTTGGAACAAAATCCTGAATGAACTTCTAGATCTGCAACTTAATATTTCTTTAGCATGCACAAGACCACACCTTCCTATAAACTCTATCAGCAAACTGAATCGGATTATCTTCAACAGTAAGTAAACGATACCCACTCTGAACACTGAATAAACCCGACTTCTCACCACTTCAGACCCGTTTATCTTCCTGAGGAAATCTAGATAACGGAATACTTAAAATTTGATTCGCTTCATCCTGAGAAAAAATACCTTTAACCACATTAATTTCCCACGATCTCGTGCTCTCATCAATGAGATCGAAAACTAATAAAACAACACCATCACAATCAGAATTAATAAGACTGAGAGGGTTGCTTGGTAACTAAAAATCATTCCAGACTGAAATGGAAATTTCGTTTCTGATTTTTCATCGTAGTAATTTCTCAAGAAGGCCCCTAGTACTCCAAATACTACACCAAATATAATAAGAGGTTGAACCAAGCTTCGAACGCATGAAATCGATCATGAGGAAAGAGTTAGCTTTTACCAATCCATTAACCAGAGACTTAATATTAGAAACTAATCTTCATCATTGTTTTGCCAGAATAGCAACATTAAATTTAGCCATATCACGAAACCCAAGCCCACTATCATCTTTCAACTAACAAAGCATTCTCCACGAGCACCAGTGAATTCCTTGTTTATCTACATACTTTTGCCAAAAAAACGGGCCATTATACTTTCTAATTCATTGCAAAAGCTCTTGGGAAGTAGAAAATAGTTCATAGAATAAAGAGGAATAACTTGCAACACAGACTTTATAAAAAAAACTTTATCTCCAAGTGATAGAACCCTAACACTCCATCATCTGATTCATTTATGAAACTTATCTTTTAGATGCGTAAACGTGTTTCTCTTGTTGCATCCTACAATTACCGGTAGACCCAAGTACTTTTCTGGGCTTGAAGTATTAGAGACATTCAATATACATCGAACGTCTCGACGATTCTCTTCAATTACATTTGTACTAAAGAAAATCCCTGATTTGTCAAAATTTATCTCTTGGCCTGAACTCTCTCCATACACCCTAAGAAGTTCATTGATTTTCAAAGCTTCCCATCCATTAGCCTCACCAAAGAGGATATTATCATCAGCAAAAAGAATATGAGAGATATTCAGAGCGTATCGACTAATCTTAACTCCCTGAAGCTCTTCCCGACAAATATCTCTCCTTATAAGAGGTTACAACCCTTTACTACAAATAAGAAAAAAAAATAAGGATTGAGTGGATCTTCTTGGCACAAATCCCGAATAAGTTGGATGTGATCTCCTGCGACTCCATTAATGATTACTGAATAAGTCACCGAACACACACAACGCTTCAATATTTCAATCCAACCTAAATCAAATCCCATCGTTTCATTGATTGCCCATAAAAATTCCTCTCCACTCTATCGTAAGCCTTGTTCAAAATAACCCTTCCATCCCATTCTATTATGCACAAACAAGTGTAACAACCCATAGGTTGTGATGATATTATCTGAAATCAGACGACGTGGAACAAAGACACTCTGCGCCTCATCAATGCATGGATCTAGACATTGTTGCATTTGATTAACCAACACATTCGCAACAATCTTGTAAATCACGTTGCATAACTTATTGGTCTGAACTGACACAAGGAAATTATAACTTCCACTTTAGAAATTAACACAATATGGGTGTGATTTACTTCCCTATGCTCGCCTTGTCATGGATCAAATCTATGCAGAAATTAGCTACTTCAGGGCCAACAATGTGCCAGAAATGTTGGTAAAAAAGGGCACCAAGACCATCCTCTCCTGAAGCCTTTAGAGGAGACATTGCCTTAACAGCCCTCAATACATCTTCCCTAGTGAAAACCAAACTCAATTGGGAATTCATATCAACAGTAATATTACTAGAAATGCCCTCCAATATCTTGTTATTGATCATCGATGAAGTAAAGTCAAATAAATCAAAAAAATAACTTTTTGCAAGCTCAGTCATGCCCAGCTCAGAATCCACTAAAAACCATCATTATGCTCGAGGGCGATAATTTTAGTCTTCTGATTTCGGGAAGTGGCATACATATGGAAGAAAACATTGTTATTATCACCATGTTGGAATCAATTCGCTCTAGCACACTACTTCCAATACAGTTCTGATTTATCTGCTTTCAGATTTAGCTGCAATTTGACATTAACGATCTCCCTTAGCACCTCATCAGAAGGGGCTAATTAGCTTAAATGTGACAATTTCCTCTATAAATCTCTTATCGTTAAGCGCTTGGAATGAAATAAAATTTTGAACCACCGATCCAGCCCCAGACTTAAGCCATGCAACTTCTCCAACACTGTATCTGACCCATTATTCTACAAGCGACTAACATCCTCCTCACACGACTCCTCAAGGAACCAGGAAGCTTCAAATTTAAATACCAAGATAGGCTATCGGGTTTGCAATAACTGTATGTATTAAGAGGGTGCAATGATTAGAGATTGAATGTTGAAGATGAAGAAGGGAATAACGAGGAAAAAGAGACAACTATGCTTCATTATCCAAACCCGTATCAAGTCATTCTCTAACATTATTTCTCGTCATCCTCCCTCTCTCCCAAGTATACCATACTTCACTATATCCAACATCCCGTAAGTTGCATGCATCAACTGCAGCTCGAAATATTTGCATTTGTCTCTCCATCCGAACTGTACCACTTTCTTTTTCATAAGAATACATGATTCCATTAAAGTCCTCTATCATTAGCCACGACATGTCCACATAGTCATTTAAACTACACAACAAATCCCAAGACTCCTGACGCCAACCTCCCTCAGGAGCACCATAGAAACTCGTGAATCTCCACGATCCACATCATTTGAAACAAAAACATCAATATGTGATAAAGAAAAATAATGCAAAATGACTACAATTTTGCTTCCATGCCAAACAAAGACCTCCCCGAGTACCTTGAGGTTTCACGTCAATTCTATTTGTATAACTCCAAGATTTATGAACCTTCTCCATGCTTATATTCTATAACTTGGCATCTATCAGAAATACCACAGATGGCTTTATGGCTTTCTATAACTCCCCACCTTCTAATTTCTCCATATCATCTTCTAACGAATATTCTCTCAACCATGGTCTACTCAGAACCGCTCGACGTTTGAAAGGTGCATGCAAGGATACATCCCATTGTGCTACCACTTCCTTATTTTCTTGCAACGCCTGCAATGGAAAATAACTTTCCTCATGCCCAAGCTTTATACACAGAAAACATAACAAATTTAATTTTTCGTATTGAAACCGAGCATAAACCGACTCACCAGATGGAGTAACAAACTTTTTTCTTCGTTTCAACGCCCTACGAACATCAATTTTCACTTGGACTCGAATACATCCTTTGTACCCCAAAGAGATTTCCAAAGCATCATACTCCACGAATGTGCCCACAAAGTCACCAAATTGTTTCATAACCTATTCTGATATGAATCCAACCGCAAAACCAAGAGCAAGAACCCAAAAATTGACCTAATTCAGCGGAACATGCATCGGATTCTCCCCCTCCTTCAGACAATGAAAAACTAAGAGATACAAATTAAAATACCATGCCCCTAAAACAATTCGGGAAAAATCAATCTCATTGTATAAACGTAAAAGTTACCTATTCTCGCCCAAATTAGTGATCGATATACCTTAAATCGGTGCCATACATTTTCCAAAGTCGTCCTCATCGCTGGAAAATTGATTTGGCTTGTAGTCAAGAACTTACCAACGAAACAGAAAGCATATGAAATATGCGCCTCCTGTTCCGTATTTACTAGAACCAAACCCTCATCTTCTATCCTTAGATCCTGTAATTCCCTTTCTAGATCACCCATTCCGAAAAGGTCAACCCGAAAACCACCACTAGCAGAACTAGAAAAATTGAGAAATCTCAAAAAACTGTCACAACGAGTAGAGGTATAAACGTGCCAAACAGCAGAGCAAAACCCTAACACAAAGGGATTTTATGTGATTGTTGTATGTATGAAAGAAGACAACAATTTAATTACTGACTTATATATACAGATATATATTTGGTACACACATATATATATATATATAACAAACCAAGTTTGTTAATCTAAATCTGACTGTTATTTTCATTCTTAGATTTAAAATACTATTATTATTTGTGAAATATTTTAAACTACTAAATATTCAAATTTAGTAAGTCCTGAAATTTTGCTTTTTGAAAATTAGAATATAAATACAAATAATGTCAAATAGTATATTTGAGCATCTGAATTAAAAAAATAACAATAAATATTTGAATAATCTTTACTTAAATTTGATATCCACGTTAATTACAAAATTTATTTATTAGTTTAATAACGCCAAAAGAAGAAGTCCAAGTGAATATCGTATTTTTCGAGTTATATCCAACTCGATAGAAAATATAACAAACCTAAAACCCCAGGACACCATTTCTTTTCCTCTATAAATATCGAGATTTAAAGCACCATCTCTCGTCCAATTAAAAACTAAAGGTATCACTTTTGTTTGGAGCTGATCAAGTCTTCAAGCAACTCTCCAGTTTCTTCTGCTCGTGGATTATAGAGGTAAATTCTCTTAAATTGCTTCCAACCCTTTTTTCCCTATTTAATTGACCTGTTTTATAAAATTTCCGATTTCTCTAAATAAATAGTTTAAATGTTTTAATTCGTCTTTTGAATCCTTTTATCCCAGATTTCTATCTCTTCCACTTTACAGACTGCGAAATGGCGGCTTGTTATCATGTGAGCGCAGATCAAAAGGTATATATAATTGATATTTTAACAAATTAATCATCGAAGTTAATAAAATAATATTGTTGGTAATAATGAATAAAAGTGCCATAATAAATATTATGAAAGTATGTAAAATTAAATTAATTTACTAAAATATTATATAACTTGAATATTTTAGTAAAATTAAATTGAATATCTCCATTCATTGTCTGCCGTTCGGGTAAACTCTACATCTGAAATATTAAAAATATTCGATAATCGAATATTAAAACATTATTTATTTATTCGTTTTGCTTTTCTCTCTTTTTGGTTAGAAATCAATGAATGCCCATAACGTGACATCTGAAAATGAAAAGAGTGCAATGGAGACGGGTGATTGGGGAACCGAAATCCCGAGTGAATCACGGCAAGGATTTGTGAACGAAATGTAACGTAAAAATCTGCTAATTGTCATTCTTAAAATGCGAACTTGTTTCGTTGAACTTTAGCCTTTGCATGTGTTTCTTTTAGATTGGATATGATGAAGAGGCACCCTCAATTTTCTGGGACAGACGATCAACTTAGAAAATGTGCTGAAGTTGTTGAAGAAAAACTTTACAATTCATCGCGTGATAAGGTAAATTGATCATAAAAATCACGGGATATCCATTAATTGTATTGTTCAACTATGAACAACTCGTTTACTGATTTCTAATCTCAGAGGGCTTATCAAACGAGAACATATACGAAGTTACATCAAATACGTGAATGGCAAGAGGCGTTTTCCACAGAGATGCCTCCTTTACTATTGTTCCTCGAGCCACAAACACCTACAAAATTGCCAAGTACGTGTGATTATAGTCTTTTCATCCCCATATTAGCATTCTTCACTCTTTAGTTTCTTAAAGAAACTACAAGTTAATATTAATTATATTATATTATGGATATTTATGCAAAGTTTGCATTTCAGTCTTGTTACGCTCTATATTAATGTTATGTTGATAAACCTCTTCTTTGGTTGTGTTATAGATATCATATCTCTCTTGCTACTTGTTGTCCTTAAACGAATAGTTTTGCATGTTTGTTACATTTGCTAAAATAATACAATTTCTTGTAGTATGTGTAAATGGTGCAGAAATTCGAGACAATTGGCGAGAGGAGGTCTATCAGAAGGTATACAGAAACTATCTTGACTGCTGCTCTTGTAGACTAATTTCACTTAATGGCTTGTTTTGAGGATATCACATTGGCATGTTCCGAGTTTTAACATATATTTGAAACATCATATTCTTATAACGATCTAATATTTTCCGGATACATCTACATTTAAGGAAAACAAAAGCACATGCTTGATGAATGACTGCTAATATGGAGCTGGAAGATGACTATAATGTATTAGGAATTTACAAGTTTTGCGGGCCTAATTATAAGCACCTAGGCACAGCACTTGCAAGCTTTTTTAATAATCGATTTTGAATCTCCATTCTTGAAGTTCCTATGAAGTATTAAATATAAATATTTGATTCAGCAATCTTCTTTTGTAGATTAATACATCTTTCTGTTATACTTGGCAGATCGAAACAATGAGAGAGACATACTTACCTGATATTATTGAGATACACGAGGAATTTGCTGCTAAACGTAAGCAGGTAAGTTTAGTTTCTTCTTTATATAATTTGTCATATTCATTGTTTAATTGTATATTCATTGATTGAATGGAGTGTTTTCCTTTTTTAAGTAACGGATGGATGGAATACATATGTTGAAATAGATTCGAGTCTAACACTCAGATCCGACTCCGATGAACATATAATTTCTTAAATGGTCCGAAAGATCTTACAAGTTTTCCCATTTTCCAGTGGGATTCTTTTTCGCAACAACTTGAGATGGAGCATCCTGACGAGTTGAAAGCAATCGAAATTAAGTTGATGCGCATAATACTCGTACTATCGGCTTCTAAGAGTCAGCTAGTACCTGTATACGAAAAGGAGTTGAATTCATATTATGAGAAGCAGATAATAGATTTTATAAATGCGTACAAGTCCATGAAGCCTATCTCTTTCCAGTTACAAGAACTACTTTCCTTACCTGATTTGCCTTCCTGGTTGCCAACGTTTATAATACCGAAACCTGAAGTTAATGATCCGATGAACCGTCAGTTGCCTCTAATGGTGCCATTTATATTACCCACAAGACCAGCTCAGATGCAGAGCCAGCATCATCAAATTCAGCAACAACAGGGACAACATTTGCACGACTTAGAACAGCAGTTGCCTGGAAATATTGAAACAGACGAATTGCCGCATTCTTACCAATGGATTTTGACTCTGGGGTTCTTGAAGAAAATTTCCCGAATGGCCAACATCCGGGTTTTTATTCACCTGTTGTTCCACTTCCGACATTTCACCTATACTCTTTCCTGCTCCATTTGTCCCTTCTACTTCTACCTTGTTGACTCCATCTCTCGCACCAGTGACCTGTGATAATCCCGTTTATGATACTTCCTTTCTGTCAGATATCAGTCATCAGCAGCATGCAACTTATGAGGAAGAAGGATCCGAATGTCCTGCATCCGACACTGCTGGAAATGGTATGCCGACTAGGTCAACACCACCTTCGTTTCCAGGGTTTGAGAAAGCTGATGATACACGTGGTAACGCTTTGACGACTGATTTTGACAAGCCAAACATCCAAGAACAGCCACACGATCCCCTGGTGAACATGGTTAGTAAAAGCTCAATTTCATCATTTCTGATTTTCATCTTCAAAACGCTTTTAGAGTCACAAACAATACTAAGAATGATGTTGGCTAATTTAATATGTTGCAGGCGAAACCCAATTCATTGAGGTCAACTGTTGTGAGCATGGTTGATGAAGCAGCCACCGCAGTCGGTGAGGAGTTGGCCACCATGAGAAAGCAAGGACTGCATGCAACAACTTTGTTTGCACAAAAGAGAATGAGTGGTGCTGAGAAAATGAAATGCTATTTGGGTGCATTGGCTATTTTAGTTCTTACCATTTACTTCATTTCGACTTCTATCTCCAGTACTGAGATCGGTAGAATCTGCAGGAACCAGTTCCAGACAATTTCCAAGTCATTTTTTGCCTTTTTTTCCCTCAAAAAGCTGTGTTTGGTAGATGAGTAAAGATCCACTGATTACAGCATGGATTTTTCTCTCTATAATAATAATAATAATAATAATAATAATAATAGTACCAGGGAAATTGTTGCCTCGGTAATCCCTTGTCTGAGTTAAATTAGACTTGTTTAATATATAATTATTTTATTTTCTCAAGAGTTCGTTATATGATTCTGGCTTAAGAAATCATGTGTATAAATTCTCTTTAATTAATTTTTCGTTTAGTGGTATACATAGACTCAAACTTTTACAAAATAAAAATCAATGTTATCCTTAATTTTTTTTTTTTTTGCATTTAATAAAACATTGATTCTTTCGATGTTAATGTGATATTCATAATATTAATTTGCAATTTATAGTAGATGATGACGCGATAATGATACATATGAAGTCGTTCTATTCAATTTATCGTCTTAAACTCTGTTTAATGAAAATCGTACTTCTTCTAATAGTAGGTGACGGATTGGCCAACTATATAAAAAGGCTTAATTTAATATGGCCTTTCTCATGATTTGGGGATAAAATTTTGGGAATCTTCTCTTCTGTACATAATTAAAATTTTCCCTACTTCTATCTTTTGTACATAATCTTTAAATCCTTTAAAGAACTCGTAATATCTTTAAATTTCTAAAATTTTGATTTCTAATTCCCAGATTATCCACTCATTCATTGTCGTCATGTAGACACTAATTTTCCAGCGTCATATGTCTCCTCCCCGAAGACTCCTCCTGCAGCCAATTTTCACAGTAACCAAAAAGCATTAGAAGTCTATTTTGTATAGTATTCTAAAAATAGTCTGCTTTTTCCATTATAAATACATGTAATACATATCATTTGTAACACACGAATGGAGATACGAAATACAAGAAGAAATTACGAGCAATCTTAGAGCGAAATCAGAGTTTTTTTTTCCTGCAAATTTTCGAAGAGAAATACAAGGTAAATATAATACATTTTTTGAGTTTACGCTTGCATACTTGTGTCTCGTTACATTTTGTATTCGAAAAACACCAAAGAAAACGATTTTTTGCCGATGAACAGGGGCATTTTTCGGGATCTATTTTTATAGATCTAGCCCCCGATGCTTCTTTTCTTGAGAAAATACTTTGATTTTCGGAATGGGTGTGAAAAAGGGGTAATCTCACTCTTGGTCCCCTCGTTTATAAAGGATTTAATTTCTACCCTGAAATCCCAATTCATCCTCAAAGTGCTCCAAAATTTGTCATTCGTTTTTCTATTTTTACATTCTAGTCCGTTTTCTAGATTTGAATTTCAATTTTCTTCTTATTTTATTTAATATTACATTATAGTATATATTTGATATTACTCATGTATATATTATTATTTATTTCCTTTTGTTGTTATGTATATACATGTATCATTATCATTTATTATTTACTTATTTTATTTATATGTTATATTATATATATATATTACGTTTTCTTAATATTTTTTTATATATTTTTTAGTTTACAAGCTAATATGTATGTATTTCCTTTTTTACCTTTTTCCCTTCGTTTTGTTTATTTGTTTTAATTTTATTTTCTTTATTCATTGATTCATTTTTCCTATTTTATTTATTTATTTATTTTATTCAATTGTATTTATTTTTTTATATATTCCTTTTATTTTCATAATCTCCATATCAACTGTGTTGTTTACTTTTCGTCTATATTTATTAGTATTTATTTATTTATTTATTGTTTATCTCTTCTTTATTTCATTTTATTTATTTTCAATTTATCTTCATTGTTTTTGTTTTTCTAACACTTTTCATGATTATTTAAAGGTTTCGTTTTCCAAACCTTAGAGGTGAGTAATTTGGATCGTCATTTTATCTTTTAATTTAACTTACAATTTTCTTAATCAAAGATAACTGGAAATTACGTAGTACCGAAAGGGCAGTTCAAGGGTGCTAACCCTTTCTTGACTGTAACCGACTCCCGAATCCGACACATCTTTGGTAAGACGCAGATCAGGTAAGAAATAGGGTGTCCGATCGACCCATTTGCTTTAAAATAAATTATCGGTGGCGACTCCTAATCCATTTTCCTAAGTCGAAGCCCAATTCTGGGGCCCAATCGAAAGACGGTTGTGACAGCTTGGCGACTCCGCTGGGGACACAGGTAAGTGAGTCAAGCTAAGGTAATTTCCAGTTGTCTTTTTAACGAAAAGGGTAAGTTTAAATTTTAAGGTAACGTTTCGATCCTTATTACTTACCTTTGATTATATTTTTTCGAGTAAATAGTTGAACTGACCGTTTTCTAGTGATTTCAGCTTTCCAAACTTTTTCATTCAAGGCTCTAAACCCGAGCTCTGAACCCGTTTTAAGTGGGGGTGAAAGTGACGCATTCGTGTGAATTTATTCATCGCATATGCCAAGCAAGTAGCCTTCGGGATTCATATACCTTATGTCTTCGTGTGAATTTATCCTCCGCATAGACATAAGGGAATGTGTCCTCTCGAGTTTAACTTAGTCCACACAAGCATGTGATGGGTTTAGGACTAAGGGTCTGGTAAGCCCAAGGGGGCACCAGTAAGGAGAACTCGGGTACCATTTTTTAGAACCTAAACCGAGAGAATTTGAAGAAATAGAGCCTACCCCAAAACCACATTCCAAAATCTAGGACATTTCTTTCCTAACCATGTTTTTTTCTCTTATATTTTTTCTTGCCATTTTTTATTTCTATTTATTTTTATTTTATTAATTGTTTACCTTTGTGTTTGTTTTTAAAGCATTTGCATCATAACAAGAGGCTATTGATCCCTAAAAAGGTGTTTGTTACACAAAATAATCTGAATTAATGGATAAAGGTGTTGTAATACAAGAGATTAAAAACCCCGAGGTACGACTATGGTCCGAGAAGACTCAGAAGGAAAATGGAGATAGTCTTCAAGGAAGCTATGTGTCAGAGCTGGTTAGCTACGCCTCTATCAGCCTAAAGCAGAACGACGTGCAAGAGCTTCGGGACATCTGGGGCAGTTGGAAGAATGATCAGAAACAGAAGTTCAGCCAACGGTACGGTGACATTGCATTGTTGCTTCAAATCAAGACTGATGAGCCCTTGATCAGATCCTTGGTTCAGTTCTGGAACACGGGATACAGTTGCTTCACTTTTAATCAGGAGGACATGGTGCCCTCCATTGAAGAGTACACTACACTGTTGCACTGTGAAAATATCAGACTAGAGCCAGCTTATATTAAACACATCAAAAGTCAGCCTTTCAAGAGTGCACTAGCCAAGGTTGTTGGGGTTGACAAAAGATTGGTAACAGACCGAGCTCGATGTAAAGGCAATGGGGAAGGAATTGCCTGACTTCATATCAAGTAACTGATGAAGGACCATCCCGATGAGTGGAAGGCAATAGACCTGTTTGCATTGGGTCTGTATGGCCTGATTATATTCCTGAAGACTTTAGGGTACATTGATGCAGTCGTGGTGGAACTGTTTGAGCAACTTTCGAAACGAGTCAACCATTGCCGAAGAGCTGGCGGAGGTAGATTCATTGGGTGTGTTCAGCTCCTTCAAGTCTGGATTCACAGCTACTTCTGGAAGACTAATGGGGTTGCCTACCGCCGATTTAGCACTACGTATTCACCTTTGAGAGAGTTCATCACCATGAAATGGCATGAAGGTGCTTCAAAAGAGAAGTGGATGAAAGTCTTCACTCATCTCCAAGATCAGGATATTACCTGGAGAGCCCCCTGGTTGTTCCTCAGTGACGTTCTTTTTCGATGTGGGGACTCTGACACTATGACCTTACTTGGACTTTGGGATGCAGTTAGGAATGCTCCGTTGTTAGCACTTAGACAGTATGGTGCACGTCAGTTTGTCCCAGCAACATGCTGACTAGCTAGATCAGAGTTTGAGTATCACGGTGACAACTATAAGAATATGATCAAGGAAGTAGTCGATTCATGGAAGAAAGTATTCCGGATGGATGTTGTAGCTGCCAGAAACATGCTTACTCCGGACTATGTGGAGTGGCAAAGATTGAGAAAAAAAGACAATATCCTGGTGCCAGACTGTGAGGACACCCGAACCCTGGAAGAACATCTCAGGCCCGTCTTTTCTGAACTTGAGATAGCCAAGACAGAGTTTAAAGCTGTGAATAACGAGCTGAAGCAGAGGGTAAAGGAGCTTGAAGCTGAGCGCTATCAGTGGAAGCTAGATGTCGACTCTCAGAAAGATCGAGCATATAATCTTGAAAAAGAACAGGAAAAAATTATGTTTTAAGCTCGAAGACTTGAGAAATGGGTATCAAGATAAAGTCAAGGATAACTCCAAGTTGAAAGTGGCTTCTGAATACTGGAAATATGAAGCTCATAGCCTGAAAAGAAAGTTTGAAGGGCCTGATGAGAGAGCTTGGAAGGAACAGATGAAGACTGCCCAGAGGCGCTTAGCAGACAGTTAGCATCAAAACCAATGCTTGAGAATCCAGATGGCTGATCTGGAGAAACAACATGAGAGAGATGGAAAAACAATAGCTGAGTTAGAAGCTATTGTAGATGGGTTCAAGAAGAAAGTGAGCGAGCTTCAGATAGTACTCTTCGACGGAGGTTTACAGTGGCGTTTCCGTTGAGAGCAAGCACAACAAAGGGTGAAGGCCAGAGACGCAGTCATCCGATACTTCCTGGATCAAGTACAGAAGGCAGCTCGTTATCTACACGGCCTGGCAAGGGAAGCTGGAATGGTCCGACAAGGCATACAACCAGTGATAGATGAATATAGAAGACTTGTCAACCTACTAGAAGCTGTTCGGGGTCTAGAGGATTTAGTCCGAATGTACCTTTGATCGTTTTTATGTCTCTTACAAGATAAAACATTTTTTGTCTAAGTAAAGATTATTTATAATAATGTATACTTTTCTGGATCAATGCCTCGAATATTTCATGCATTCTTGCATTTTGTATTTTTACCTTTTTGCATCTTCATCTATATTTTTAAGCATTTTCACAAACTTGAAATTAAGTCATGA